GGAGGGCTTCGAGAGCTTCGGCGGCTTTGGCGGTGGCTCTTTTGTCGCGCGATTCGAGCCTGGTGCCTAGCAAGGCAGTTTTGCGGAGGGAGCCACGTCGGCGGCGCGTTCGGTGTTGTGCGAGCGCCGCAGACATCGCCCGGCTGCTGGTAGTTCCTCCCTTGCTTGTGCTCTGCGGTATACCGGAGTGGAGGTCTTCGTCGCCATCGTGGTCCATGTCTGGGTGGTGTCGGTCCATGGAGGTGTGTGCTGCCCGGTTCACGCGAAAGAAGGAAAGTCTCGAAAGGAGTGAACCCGAAAGGCTTCGTTTGTGGCCGCTACTTGCGCTGCCTGATCGTGGGCGAGGAGATAGTTCGTGGACCGCCAAGTCCGCGGTTCTCTCCTTATCGTCCATTGGTGCGTGTGGAACCGGGAGTTGGAATGTCAGCTCGGTCAATCCTCTTGCATTGGTGAAACTCGGGGACTGTATTCGTTTCTTCGTTTGGTGTTTTTTGTTTTGCAAAAAGACATAGGTATGTTTTGCCTGCATAAGGCCGTAAATGGCGTGTGGCCTGCAATATCAGGCATCAAATGTAACAAACTCGCGATGCCAGCAATGGCGTCGCGCGGTCAAATAACCTTAGATTATGTCTCCGATGCATATAAAATATCAGCAACAGCAGAAACGATGTGCGATAAAAGGATTTATATAATAATCTTATCATCCATCTATGGATGGATACATGTATCAGTTTGAGAGATGCACTTTCTCTAACTCGGTCCCGAAGTAGTCAAAGAGCTTCGTAGTTTGTACCTCTAGTTTCTCCTCTCAATTGAAAAACCTCCTCTTATCCATAATGCCGCCATTGGCCAATGCTGCAAAATTCTGAAAATTGTGGGAACAATTACACGCCATGTCCCGCAAGCGAGTACGGCTCGTCTGAATCAATTTATCGAAAAGCCTCCGGGAAATGGCGAGACTGGCCACGGAAATGTCCATCGCTGATATTGGAAGAGTCGCTCTTCCTTTCAGCCTCCAAGTCTTCGGTCTCCAAGCTTGGCAAGACCCTCCTATGAACCTAAGCCCATGGCTGAGTACGTAACATATATAGTGTTCCTTGCCCCATTTGATACTTACACGATATCTAGTAAATTATTTGAACTAGTTTAAGGAACTCACTCGCTCCGTAAAGCTAATTGAGGCTCAATCAAGATGCAGGATTGATGGATTGCTCGCGATTGAGGAAAATCTGCGAGCCGAAAGATACTTCGATGATGCACCAAGTCTACATTTCGAGACGTGCTTGGAATGGGGTCAAATCATACCCAAGAATAAGAAACACAAGTGCACAGGCATAGTTTTCATGCTTTTGTCCCTTCTCCCCTGTTATAACCAGATGAGTAAACAGCTGAATACCTCAAAAACGAAATATTTATCCATATATATTCATCTATAGCTGCGTAATCAGTAAAATATTCAACAGTCCAGGCTTCCAAGCTGGGTTCAGACAAACAGAGAAATAGAAAAGGTGGGAGCATGTACATTGTCTGTCCCATCTAAAACATGCCGTACATCTCAGTGTCACACTGCATACATGTGCAGTGAGAAAAGGGGCTGCAGTTTACCAATCAACTAACGCTACAATGAATAATAACTGCTATGAAACCAGGTTAACTTCAGGTGCCTTGCGGAGCATAACACAGCATGTTCAGTTTCACCTGCAAGCCTCTATGCAGAGAATATCATGCAATCCGCCGTCTGCTCTGTACATCATACATGGTATATATAAAAACAAACAAAGAAAATGCCATCGGCAATGAGTTTAAAGAAAAGGAAACGAAGAATGCAGCACAAAAAAAGGCAAATTGGTATCTGGGCTAGAACGCCAGCAAGGCAGAGATACTTAGAAAAAAAGATCAATGGTGTTCGCGTGCTCCAAGGAAATTCATCACAGCATATACGGGTACTCGTGGGGAAGTGCCCAGACCAATGTGTCAACCGAGAAATCCATGGCAACCCATGAAGAGCATCTTTCGAGTGGAAATGAGTACCAAACAACGAAAGCAAGCCTAAGAAAAGACAGGGAAGCAAAGCTGATACAACACGTGTACTCGAATGATAAAACAGCTAGAGAAAAGAAATGAACAAGATGGCAACAGTCCAAATACGCGGGTGAAGAGTAGGGAGGTCGCTTTTATTTGGGGGCGTGACAGAACCAAAAATCCAAGGAACCCTTGATAGCAAGGCACGCTTAAGAGAAAAGAGAAAAGGAAAGAAAGAAGCGAAAAGAAAAACCGAATCAACATTGTGGACTTGGGGTATGGGGTGCGCAACACACAAATTCCGTTTCAGACAAAAGCAACTTGCTCGCTTGAAAATCCACTCAATTTAAGTAAAAGAAAGAAATATCAACGGTGATGGGGAATTGTAGAAGGGTGCTATGGAAAGAAACACAGAAGGGACGTTAAATAAACTTAGTTCTGTGAGCAAATGACGGAAGTGTCGTATGTGAGCAGACCGACTGGAGACTGTGAAAAACCGAGCTACGCCTGGTAGCCTCCGTTGAAGTTGTTGGACTGGTCCCAGTTGCCGGACGGGGACATGGGCTGGCCACGGCCGTAGCCCCCGGCATTGCCTGCCTGAGCGTAGCCCTGGCCAGCCATAGCAGGCCCATTGAAATTGTTGGGTTGTTGATCCCAGCCTCGACCAGCAGGGGCAGGACCTATTCTACCAGTAAGCGAGTGCTGAGAGACAGGATAAATCCTAGGCTCACCTTGATTCATGGGGTTTGCGGGACCACCGTATTGGGGGAAGAAACCAGCAGGGCTGCTGTTGAAGGGAGCGGCGTTGCCCTGCTGGGGAGAGAAGTTGTCGAATTGGCCGGTAGGAGGGCGATCCTTACCCCACTGCGGTAGTCAGTAAATGTAAGCTGGTAATCCCAGGACTAGCAATAACTTACACTGCACTTCAGAGGACGACCGTTGACGTTGTAGCCATTCAGTTGGCAGATCGCAGAGGCCGCATTTTCATGCGAATCCATTTTCACGAAGGCAAAGCCACGATCGGCCTGGAGGCGAGTTTCAAGGACATAGCCGAAGTTCTGGAACAGGGGGACCAAGTCGTTCTGGGTGGTATAAGGGGTGAGGTTGCCCACGTAGCAAGTAGTCTGCCACTGGGGGGTCTGCTGAGCAACCATATCGTAGCTCTGAATGCCGTGGGTTGGGAAGTGGTGGTGTCCGAAAGGAGTGGTGGGCGTCATACCCATCGCAACTAGGGCCTGCTGCTGGGAGATTGAAGGCTGACCCTTCTGGTTGGCCCAGTTGCAGCGGATAGCACGAGAACCGAGCCATTCACCATCCATCGAGTTGAGGGCCTTGTCTGCCTCTGTGCGATCGCGGAAAGCAACGAAGCCGTATCCACGTGAGCGACCAGTCTTCATGTCCCACATCACACGTGCTTCGGATACTGAACCGAAAGCAGAGAATGCTTGAGTCAGGATTTCGTCGTTGACTTCATTGCTCAAGTCGCCGACGAAAATATGGAAGTGGTTAGAAGTATCCTCCTTGCTGGTGCTGTTGGACTGGTACGCCCAGTTGACACGGATTTCCTGAGGCAATTAGACACAGACGAAGTACCACGAACAAAAGGAAACCTACCGATTGGTGGATTCGGCGACCATTCAGGGTTTGCATAGCCCTCTCGGCCGCACCTGGGTCATCGAACTCAACGAAACCGTAGTTGTGGCCCTTGGTGGTGAATTGCCCCTGGAGTAAGTAAAACAGTCAGCTACCAATATTTCATCAAGGGCTGGCAGTGATATCACAGATGAGAGCTCCAGAGACCATTACCAGCAACTCAGGGGGGAGCCGATATGCAGGGGGTGCCTGTCAGGAGAACTCACATTCTTGTCGGGAATGATCTTCACGCTGACCACGTGGCCAGTGGTCTCAAAGATCTGCTTGAGGATGTCCTCAGTGACCCTCGGATCTAGCCCACCCACATACAGGGCTCTCTTGTTTGGTTCAGGAGCCGCTCGGCGGACATATCCACCAGCGCTTGTGGGGGACATCATAGCAACTCCGGACATGGGGGAGGTCATGGCGGTGGGAATCGGATTGGTATTCTGGGGGATTATCACAGGAGGGCGCGGGGGCGGGGGCATGTGGGACTGGTTGCCCTGGCCATTGCCCTGAGGAGCATCATACTGTTGGGTTTGACCGACAGCGGGCTGAGGCGCGGGGGGTAGAGAAGAGGCAGTCGAGGCTTGAGCGTTTTCAGCCATTATGATTGCTTTTTGAAAAGATACGAATATATTCCAAAGGCGATCAGAGGAAGCGAGTGATGCGGAAGTCGGAAGGTGTTAAATATCAGACTGGGAGAGCCCAGTGTTAGGTGATCTGTCAAATTCAGAATTTGAGACAATGCAGAGCGTCGCTGAAAGCCACAATCGCAAATAAGACCAGGAAAATATACGTATAGGAGGCCACGGGGGGACCAGGATGGAGGAAGTCCAATAAGAAAGACCCTAAGATAGGTAACAAAGAGCACCGGGTATAAACAGTGCTAGTAAAAGAGACACCGAAATGGAACCTGGGTGGGGAGTTTGTTTTTTGTTTTTTTGTTTTTTGCCGATCAAGCTCCGATAGAATAAGGGAGATGTTTCTGTGGCCTGATAAAGCTGCGGTCGGAGATTGAAACGATACAAAGCGCGTTGGGAGGTAGAAAGCCCAACAAAAAGAGGCTGAGAAAGCTCAAAGAAAATCAAAGCATGCAAGTCCCTTTACGGGGAGCCAAACAGGAAAGAAAAGAGAAAAGAGAAAAGGAAAAAGGGAAATGGAAGAGAAGAAGTGAGGATACAGAAAGAAAAAAAGAACTGGAGAACAGCAAAGTAAAGGGAGGGAAGTTAACCGCTAGGGGTGGGGGGAGGACACTTTACCCCAAAGGGTTTAGCCGCCTTTTACTCTTCGGTACATCCCCAAATTCTTTAACTTCAATGTTCTTTTCTCCTTCAAATTGATACTTCCATCTTCCTTGGAAAAAGCTGGAGAACTAAAACTATTTTCAACTGCCTACACCTCTTTTAACCATGGCCAGCTATTCAACTAGTTATTCAAACCCCGACTCACTCACAGAGCTCTCAAGCATAATAGAGCGGACGGTAAGCGCTGGCTCTGGAACATCACTCTTGGTATATAGCCTCTGACAGCTTCTAGCTCATTGATACCGGTCGTTTGTTTCGCAAGTCTGGCTCCATGCCATCAAGGACTCACCTGCAACGATCCATCCCGTTGTATCATGATAGTTTCCAAAATGCCCTGGATAACCTATCAGAGCAAATTGTGAGTACAAATCAATAATTTCAAATAGATTAATATTTGCTTTTTTTTCCATCTTTTTTTTCGGTTTTCTTTTCTGACATGCTGCAGTTCATCGCGAAAGCCTTTTTGGAAAGGGATTATGAGGCTCTCAAGGCCACTAGTGCTGCTCCCCAGCCCATCGAAGATGTGGCAATGAGCGATGTGAAACAACAGGTTGAACCTGATATCCAACCTCCCCCGACTGAGAAAGTGGAAATGGACACAAAGCTTGAACCTATACCTAAATTAGCAGAAGCTATCTCTGCGAGCCACTCAACTCCGGCAGAGATCAAGCCCGACACCCAATCGGGCGATGATGTAGTTGTCAAAAAAGAAGTCGACAACAATGCTGCTCCCGGTCAATCATTCCCCGGAACCAATGAAGATCTCACTTTTGATTCAGTCCTCAACGACACTGGGGGCACAAACGACTTTGGTCTTAGCTTAGACTTCAACGATGATGACATGGGCAATCAAGCTTTTCTATCCGGGTCGAATTTCACAGCTTCCGGTGCTACTGGTGGTGCAGACAAATTAAGCACGACTCAACCCCCGGGGAATACTTTGGATGTCCCTGCTGGTGGTGGGGCATTTGACATGGAGTTGCAAAAAACAGAGGGGGATGAAGGCAATTTCCTACAGAGTAACTCCGGGGAAGATTTCATGGGGCCCGCTGAATCAAACTTCGACGATTTGTTCATGGACACTGATAATTTTGGAGAGAATGGTGGGGAGTTTAATCAGCTGGAGGGGGACAGCCTGATGAATGTTAATGAGCTGGATGATAATTGGTTCAACTGATGAAAATGAAGGGGCTCACACTAGTGGACTCTATAAAGTCCAGATAAGAGCAATGACCAGTGGGGGCAAAATTGGGGGAATCGGGGGAAAAGGTATCCTATGATCTGCATGCGTTCGCATTTGGCACTAGTGGGATTAAGCATAGATCTAATGGCATATCCCTGATTTCTGTGACTAAAAGCATAGATTATTGTGAACTGCATGGATCTTTTGTTACTCAGGCTCAAGGCTCCTGACCGGATAGGTGCTGTGGAACATCAATGATGAACACCGGATTTACTAGCCAATAGCTCTGATCCAGTCTAGAAGTATGGTTCAATAGAGAATTAATGTCTTTGGACCTTTACAAAATTAAGTCTTTTGACACCTCCGATCCAAGTAGGGAGTACCTCGAAAGAAGATAGTGAAACCACCATAATCGAGGCCCACCGCTCCTAGACAGCTTCAACTGAAATCATGAACCCTTCCAGTGGTGACACAGAGCTCATTGTGCGACAGGGTCATAGCGCCAAAGACATTTGAATTGGAACTGTGTTTCTCCGTACGTGGAAGGATCTTCTTTGTAGTTCAAGGAAGATACGCGTTTAGTAGATTATAAGAGGTCAGTGGATTATACTAGCATGTAGTTTATAAGTCCGGTGACGTAGTGACGTAGGTTAGGATCAGCGCGGCTCGTGGGGAAGCAAATCAGGGCAGGAAAATCCAAAGGGCGATCACCCCAGAGAGAACGAAAAGGATTTGCTTCCCGAAATAGATTTGCCCTACGATGTACTATGTGGAGAGTCTAGACATACCTAGGCTGATGAGGTCATTGTCATAGATGTAAATATCGTCACAATAGTATTTAGTATAATAATTTGATGTGCCTACCTAGGTATATAAAGTATACAGCACATAGGTGATGGTGACGAACTAGAACTTATCACCATCTTTGTCAGGGTCTATCTTCCGACCATTCACATTCCAACTCGTGTGAACCGTGCAGTGAGCCTTGAAAACCAGGCACTACAACGGGCTAGTTAACTAACTATCGTAGCACTGTATGGAGTATGCAATGTCATAAAGAAGATTGATATAGATGGAATCTAAGAAGTGCAAGGTTTAAGTATCACATTTTGGTATCACACTTTATACGGGTTTAAAATCCATGGGATCTGGTACATAGTCCCCAAAATGTATCAAATGCGGGCATACAAAAGAGTTAATTGAAAAATCCCCCGCATCTAAGCCTACCTAGGTAGACTCAGTTTTGCTAGATCAGAAAGGCCAAGATACCCAAGAGCTGGGCGTTAGCACTGCCCTATGCCGTGGATCCGTGAATATAACGAGTTATATGCCGTGAGATCCGAGGCTTTTACAACTCTAGACCCTAGTGGAATGTTTCCACAAATATTGGGAGGAAATGCCGAACCAAATCCGTAAACCGTAGATGGCAGAGACGTATGGCCCGGATCGCCGGATATGAGACCCTCCTCTCTCTTCCCCCCGGCTTTCTCAATGGTGTTGTCATCGAGTTCGGATTTAACGATTCTTCAATTTTATTTTATTTTTTGCTTAGTATGTTCTTTTTTCTCTCCCGTGGATCAGCGTTCCTTTTAGTTTTAAAACAGTTCGCCTTTTAACTATATTCACGGATCTTTTTAATCACCTGCGACGCCACATTACGCCTTGCTAGCGGAGCCAAATCATAGAGATCAAGGAAAAAGGGAGAAAAAAAGGAGCCACAATTCCGCCCCATAGCAGCCAATCCTACACGTCGAAATAGAGATCTGCACGATGATCAGAGTGGAGGACTTATGAAGTCAGCACCCCCGAGAATTCCATCTTTCTACAAAGACTCAGTCTCCTTGCGTGAAGGGATTCAAGGGATCAGAAACAAAACAAAGAAAACATCGTCTCACAAGATTAAAGATCGAAGGTATGTTGAGTCTGTCCTACACATACCCTGCAATTTGTATTCCCTTTCTTGTTGGAGGACCATTCTTGTCTTTGCCCAATTTGGCGATATAAGCATTATCCAAGGGATATACAACATACAAATTTTTGGGGAACTTCTCCGGGATGCTCAGAGTAATATCACGATGATGGGTGCTAATATCCTTCCTTTGCCAGCACAGTTATCTTCGCGGTCGGCCTCTAGCAACCCCACCCCGCACTCGGAGTTCACAGGACCTCCGTCGCTAGGAGTATCAATTTCCAATCTCATCTCACGGTCGGCTCGTCGCCACACAGTGTGTATCGAAAATCAGACCCCTAAACGGAGTCATCGGGACTCCATCTTCAAAAAGCTGGCGGGTCCACGTGAAAACGCAAAGCGATTTCTTCGCTTGCGGTCGTCTGGAATTCAGGCACCATTGCAACGTCCTGTCCGTGGTGTACGACCAGTTTCGGAGATTATATTGTCGCCGATATCGGTCGACTTGGAGGACGAGATGCGCTCGGATTCGTCATCTACCGAGGTGCTGCCTCGCCCAGTACATGAACACCACACTGTGACTACCGATTCTGACACTTCATTTACCCCTTTGCGAAATGAGAAGATTGTAGCCACTGGGAGTGGCATCTCTGTTGGTATTGCCCTCACAGAGCCTGTGCTTTACTTGCAGGGTTATGATCAGCAAGACCCAAGCAGTAAAAAGTCCGCAATTCTGCGGGGACAAATGCATTTGAAGGTTACCAAATGTGTCAAGATCAAGAAGATCTCGGTCTGCTTCCGCGGCCATGCTCAGACCGATTGGCCAGATGGTATGAATCTACAGCATAGAATTATACTTCAACACAAGCTGACATTGTTCAGGTATCCCCCCTAAGAAGATCCACTTCCATGACAAGAAGGATCTCTTCACACATGGTGTGGTCTATTTCAATCACGGTGACACCGCGCTCATGCAGAATGACTATGGCGCGCATTACTATCAGCATGCCAAACCGGTATCATCCGTACCGGGAAAGGAGGGAGTGACGATGACAACTCGAGAACTATTTTCCAATCGCAATTCTACCTCCACACTCGCCATACCAACCTCTCGAGAAGCCAAACGTGTTTCTCTGCAAGGAAACCGCGGGCATTCGCGCAGCTTCAGCAAGAACGAACCCCCGACTTCCCAACCCCAACCTCAGCGAAATTACCGCATGTTCCCCGTAGGCGATTATTTATACAGCTTCGAGTTCCCAATCGATGGATCATTGCCGGAGACAATCAAAACGGATCTGGGCTCTGTGAAATACGACCTGGAAGCAATGGTGGAACGATCAGGCGCATTCCGACCCAATCTCCTCGGCGCCATGGAAGTCCCCGTGATTCGTACCCCTGCCGAGGGTTCACTGGAGCAAGTCGAGCCGATTGCGATTTCGCGGAACTGGGAAGACCAGCTTCACTACGACATCGTCATCTCGGGGAAGTCCTTCCCGCTCGGCTCGCAGATCCCGATTGCGTTCAAGTTGACCCCACTAGCGAAAGTAGAGTGCCACCGAATCAAAGTCTTCGTGACGGAGAATATCCAACATTGGACGGCAGACAAGAGCGTTCACCGCTTGCAACCAGCGAAGAAGGTTTTGCTTTTCGAAAAACGAGCAGACTCGTCCAGTGTGAGCACTTATCCCGGCAGCTCCATGCGTGTCACCGCAGGCGGCGGCATCGACTGGGACCACCGCGCTGCTGCCGCAAGGGGGCAGGAGATTGTGGATCGGAATAGGACAAATCTGCTAGGAAATCTGTCTAATGATTGTGGTGTCGGTCCAACTGAGATGGAATTCAACGTGCAACTGCCGAGTTGCCACGAAATGAAGGGCCGGGACGAGGGTCAGCGGCTGCATTTCGATACCACATACGAGAACATTCAGATCAACCACTGGATCAAAGTATGTCAAACGTCTTTGCTCTTTCTTCGTGTCATAATCATACTAACCGATCCACGCAGATTGTCCTCCGTCTATCGAAGGTCGACGAAAGAGACCCCACAAAACGAAGACACTTTGAAATCTCCATAGACTCGCCATTTCACATCCTCTCCTGCAAGGCCACCCAGGCCAACATCTACCTACCAGCCTACACAACCCCAGCCGAGGAACCCGTCCCCCCAGCCCAAGAATTCGAATGCGGATGCCCCGGTGCACCCCTCGCACCCCGAGAGCAAGTCATCGCCCCAGCGACATCCGATCGTGAAGACAGCAACCCCACACTAGGCATCATCGCCCGCCGCGGCTCAACAGGCCATACCTTCTCCCGCAGCTTCACCAATGACTCCGGCGGTCTCGCCCGGCCCCCACAAGCACACCTCGCATCACCAAATGACCGCAACACACCCATTCCACCTCGCCCAATGCATCTGCTCCGTGCGCCGTCCTACGCGCCCCCCGCTTTCGATGACGTCCCTCCCGCCCCGCCGCTTGTTACCCCGCCTCCAGAATATGATACCATCGTCGGGGACGACCGAGAGGCCGTTCTCGAGGATTATTTCTCCCGTTTATCGTTCTACGAAGAAAACGAGGACGATGACCGCGGGCGTGGCCGCGTCGATGTGCCCCTCACGCCGGGTGGACGTATCAACCGCAGCATGGACGTGCCCCGCGAATGGGTGCGACTCGAAGACTATTTCCAGTAATACCGCTACTCCTGGCTAAAAAAAAAAAAAAAAAAGCTGTCACGAGGTCTGAATCATGAAATTACGCTATTGTTCATATCGGGATTGGTGTCGGGCACATGTTTTCCAGCGATGCTATCTATCCTTTATATCTGAGTCTGAATCTGAGTCTGGCTCTTCTTCTCTTTCTTCCCTCTGGGGTTATATTTGGAATTACTTTCCTTCCATTTAACAGCACTTTGTTTATGATTTATGCAGGACCGGTTATACTTTTCGATTGGTGTTGATATTGGACTTCGTTTCTCCTGCGTTGATCGGGGATACATAGCGAAATGGGTCATTTAGTCAGATATCTTATATGGATACATGTAGTAGACTGAAATATCATCAAGTATCAGAACCATGCAGAAATACCGAGTACTAAAGGTGGAGATAAGAACTGATGTGTCAGCGATAAGGCCAACCTTGGAAGCCGACGCATCCAACTGCCTTCCCCGGTTTAGCTCTCTCCACACTCCCAAGCTGGTCTGGTTCTCCAACTGTCACCTTTTTTTTATTTCCTTCAATTGCCTCTTTCATCAAAGTACTTGCGGTTCCTTGCCCAAATCATCACCCCGAAGAACTACAGAGCTACGCCCTACAGGGTCCCTTAGTGTACTTCGGAACTTTTGACACGGACTACGCCGATTGGCTGACGCTTAGTGGCATAGGTGAGTTACGATATGTGCTATATATGGACTGAAAGCAAGCAAAGAACAACTCTGACAACTTTCAGTGAACAAAAAGCGACTCTGGTCCATCCTCGACAACCGCATTCTTCAATTCTCCGACATAGCGGGGCGTAAGGCGGCTTCCCGTAGCGACATCCGATCCTTGCATCTGGAGATTTACCCGCCATACAGACTCCCCAAATTGCCATTATGGCTGTTGATGTCGTACCTCTTACCGAGGCAGATATCCCCGGTGCTATTGAAGTAATTCAACGGGCATTTGCAGACGATCCCTACTTCAAGTGGGTCTTCGATTCATCCAAGGTACGTTCTATGTTGAGAAACAGCGACCAAAAAAAAGAAACAAGGCACCCATCTACTCCTAATCACCAGGCTAACATACATCTCTCTCGTGACGCGGTCAACTTGACCGGTAGTTACGTCTACTGAGAGATAACTCCACGTATAGTTCAACAAGCAAAGAAACTACGATTCCCTCGCAGCACGCTGCCACTGGGGAATCAAGAATGCACTATTCTACGTCGCAAAAGAAATCCAAGACATCGACTCCAAATCCCACAGAACCCCACTAACCCCAACCCCAATCCTCGGCGTCTCCTGCTGGCTAGCGCCCCACCCGTCCACGCAACCAGAGAGCTGGTACTCCTGGTTCCAATCATGGACCCTGTCCTTCAGACAGATGCTCAACAATATCCGGTACTTTGGTCGCGGCGGGCTGTGCGCGAACAGGTACTGGATCTGGAAACAGCGGCAGGCCGAGGCGCAGGCTGCTATCTGGGATGATCCGCGCGGGTACTATTTCTGCAATATTGTTGCTGTTAGCCCTGAAGCGCAGGGGATGGGTGTCGGTAGGTTGTTGTTTGAGGCTGTTACGAAAAAGGCAGATGATGAGGGAGTCAAGTGTTATCTCGAGAGCTCGAAGAGTGTGCCCAATGTGGCGATCTATGAGCGTATGGGCTTTCACATGAGTAAGGAGATGGAGTGTCGAGATGGGGCGGATGCTTGCATGGTATGTACATTGTACTTGTTTTGTAGTGTTTGGTCGTGGGGCTGAGATTCGTTTGGGTTGTTGCTGACTTTGATTGTTGGTAGTTGTACTGCATGGTCCGGGATCCGAGGACGGAGTGATTCTATTGCTTTTGCTTCTATGACTTGGCTCGGACGCTTGGGTCATATTATGATTTTGCCTCATAGCCGAATTGGGAGTATGTCATGGATCCGTCCACAATGAGATATGAAGAAATATGACCAGGTGCCCTTTAATTTCAAGGGTTTCACACATCTAGCAGCGAACTAAGTCTTTCCAGGTAATCTTAACTCCGGTCCCGTTGTAAACCAGCCCCAACGATCCGACCCACCCATCTCAATCCACAAACGGGGCAAGATAGCTCGAATTTAATTGAATCTAATATTTGCGGCTATGCGGTGTCATGGTGATCTACGGGATACATACCCACACTAATCCATCCGTTTGCAACTATCCAACCCGAGGAATGACCAATCAACCATTCAACTGGATATTTCCCTACGCTAGGATGCTTGCATGTTGATCTGTTTATATTGCTGCACCTAGACGAGAGGGGCAGTAGTCTCTGAATCCACATTTTAAGCTTATCCAGTCATATTCATGATGATATGCCGAAGTTCTAACGGCCTTGGTTTTCCGGGAAATATCTGATCATGCCGGATTCTGGGTGGTGTTTCAGCTCCAGTCTGGTTTCAATATTGCACGGACTGGTCGGATTCTTGACATTGTATCAAGGCTCATGCGTTGATCGAGGACATATATATCTGAGATTTGGAAGGAACACTACGTAGATTTGATGGACATTGGATGACAGTTGAGGATTTGAGGACGACGCTTTTGGATAACTCCGATAAAGTCATTACCTTGACTATTTGTTCGAGCTGTGCGTACTCCTCCTAGGGCATACCTAGACACTGGATAAACTAACTTTCCTTCTTTAGTGTGCGTTGCTTTAGTCATTACTATGTTTCTCCTTCTGTTACGAAAACTATGGATCCGACGACGCAGATCAAACACGGACAAATCTTCCACTTCGTCAACTACGCCCGAAGAGCTCAAATTCCAAGAGAAAGAACTGCACCTGCCTGAGATAATCATGACTACCACACCACATCACGACGAAACAGACCAGATCGTCAATCAATTAGCCGCCCTTGCAGCTACCGCGAGCAACACATCAAGCAACAACGCCCCATCATCGACTGCTGCCCCCATAGCAGAGCCCCAATCAGCAATACCCAAACCTAAACTCGAACAACCAGAAGAAGAAGAATCATTCTACCATCTTCGCAGTCTGATAACAGTCTCCTGCTTGCCACATCATACGCCAAGCCATACATCGACTCCCTCAGCCTCAACACTAGGCTCTAAATCAGGGAAACGCAAAAGCCAAATCTTTGATCGGAAGAGAGCCTCATCGATTCTGAGTTTACATCTTGGCGATCTACCAAGTTTGCCGTTTTCCTCGAAAGGGAAAGTCTCGTGCAAGCCTCGCCCGAGGTATACTCCTCTTCCTCCACCATTTGTGCAGAAGAGGCTTGCTATTCGGCCTGAGGTGCGTTTCTAGGGGCTCGGGATTGGGTAAATGCTGGGTTGATTGGGCTTTTTTGTATGCAGATTGGGATTTTGTTCTATTTGTGCTCTTGTTCTATGATATCCAAGGTGGGGATATTGTCATTGTCTATTATATCATATTTATGTACTGCTATTAGCTTGTTCATTTTTATGTTGTTATCAATCCCTAGTTACATATACATGGAAGAGTCGTCCGTATATTTTCTGCTTCTACCGCGTTCGGACATATATATTGTACATCGTAGAGTGATAAGCCCTGCATGTTTACTCCGTATTATTCTTCCCATTTCTAGCCGCACTTCTATAACTCATTATTATCCTTCTAACTATAACACCGAGAAGAACATATTTTAAAAATATCTATAAAATGGCCGCACATATTCCATATTCGGCAACTATATGTAATTATTTCATTCTTCTTAAATACCAAGAATGGGAGGAAACATCTAAAATCGACATCCAAATATATCAGATAACTGAAACTGCATCGCTAAGGACAGAGATCGTATAACTAAGTGGCGGACTATTCTTGTTACTATTTACCTCGGTATCGATGATGATATACAGCGTAGGAGTATTTATGCAACTTATGATGTAGTATGGAGTATACCCTGTACCCTTGCAATCTAAAGGTCAACCTGCAGCACAGCTATCTATTGATTTACCGAGGTTTACCAAAGAAGAGGCAATATTATCTCCAAGCGGGTCATCTGTGGGTCATCCCAGCAGCCGCTAACCTTGGAAACTTGTTCGCCCATGCTAACACACAAAACACATGACATACCCACACACGCTTTAAATCCCCTGCATGAAACTGTAGCCGAACCCCACTCTCACCGGGCCAACTCGCGAAAAGGGAGTAGATCGTCGGGTTGCGAAGACTAACGACTCGGCGTTCATCTCCAAGGAATGGCGTGCCGGCATTTATCTTGGGTCATGGGATCTTTTTATATTGTTTTATATTGTACTTGGCTTAGTGGATGGATGTAGGAAACAATCCCGGCACTTGGGGGCACGGATACACAATATAGATAGCGTATCTGTAATAACATGATTGATCGCCTAGAAAAGCTTGTCGAGGAATCATTCCAGCTATGGCCATTTTATATATCCTCTGGGACTTGGGTGCCTACATATGCACTGGACTTGTGCAAACCGTGCACTTCGCATCAGACGGGACGCACGAGAACGTGAATTGTGGGGGGAGGGCGAAGACGACCTCGAGATTCACACCATCCATGTACAACATACGTAATGTCAATCTATTTTGACACAATAGAATGATCTACAGACTTTCACCTCACCTGCCTGTTTATGTATGTGACGTACATAGTAGTATTCCGTATACAACGCTGTAGACGGGCTCATCTCCGTGCTAGACGAGACAATTGATGTTCAGTGATACTAGTATTCGGCTCGGCAAAGGCAAACCCGGAAGCGAGATGTTTCAGCTAGTTTAGATTGGTAGAAGTGCCGGGATTCGTCCCCACTGTGGACAGATCCCTTTGATTTATTATTCATGATCGAGTTCGAGGTCATGTAGCTCGAGCACGACCCTTCTGCCCAGGTGGGAGAGGTGGGTATGTAACCGGCTGTGGCTTCGGGACTCCACCGCTAAAACTCGATTTGCGCACAAACTGTTGTCAATGCCGATGTTATTGTTTTTTTTTAGGCTATATTATGTCTGTTGTTGGATTTGACCATGTTACTTGGTTTGCTGGAGTTGGTACAATTACGCCTAATAAGGTTCATATCGGCAGATCTCTTATGATGTATAACGTGGAGTCGTAGTTAAGTGAAAACACGTGGTGCGTGGATTATAACCGGAGAATTAGGCTGATGAAACCAATCAATTTTTACCCACTTGACTCTTCCGAGACACTACCTCTAGTACCTAGTCTAATTGAAGAGAACAAGTTGCTTATAGAGAAAACTACAAACAAGATCAAGAAAAGATCAACAGCCCCCACCAGGAAATTAGATTAGTGTTTCGTTGGCAAAAAAAAAAGTTTTAATTAAAACTACACAGTTATATTCAGCGATAACATATGCCCTGTTATATCAACGAATCGCATGGTTTCCGGCCGAACTCAGTTCGTCGCCATAATATCCGGCAAAACAAGAACAAATGAAGTTGGAACAAGTGTGCGCAGCCTGTTTTAATATTCTACTCGGATATTATTGATGTCCAGATATACCCGAGTCGACGGGTTTTCTAAATGCCACTGAGCCATACAGGTCTAGATGCGCAATTTCCCCCCGAAAGGATGAAATCCCTGTCGGTGGCTCAATCGTGGAAATGATAGACATGTCGCCAGTGTCATAATCATGGCTATCAAGCTCCTCATCCGTGGGTATCCGCAGTCGTTGAGCTATTAAGCTATGGTAATCAATTGGTGTTTGGGATTTATAAACATGTGAAAAACAAGGAACGTTAGCTCAGCAGAAAGGCGTTAAGTGACATTCTAGACATTAGTCTATACAGGGACCGTGTGCGAACCGTGTGCAACATCCCTTTAATTTGTAATTAGAGACAGAGCCATAATATAAATCGCCATAGGCTCGATAACTAACAAAGCCCGGACAAAAGAGAAAATAAATAGGAAGTAGATTGTATACAAACCACCTTGACCTTGGTCCATAGATCATTACCCGTGCCACTTACCCGACTTAGCCGTCGGCATGATTTCCATAATCTTCAGGAGTGGCACAACAAGACTTGGCTTTCGGTAAGTGTACAAATTACGTTGTACTCGTCCCGATATGTGCCTTGATATTAATATATCATAGCCTATTATTGCACGGATTCATCGATATAGTTTCCAATAAGCGCCCGACACGGCACACAAGCACATTCACAACCAACGCCTAGGGTATTTTCGGTGATAATTGACGGAAGCCAAGCAAACAATTAATATGTAAAGAACAACGCAATGGCCTAGCATTATATTGACCACAGTCCAAATGGAGGAACGCGCAGTCTTGGCGTGGAAGAAGAGAAAGGGAAAAAAAAGACAACAGAAACTCTAATAGTCGGTTCATTTCCGGAAAATCCTCGAATTAGGGTAAAGAGAAGAGAGAAATTGGGAAATATGCATGTGTGAAACGGACTGAGCACACTTCCAACTGGGCAGATTCCCGGGCTTTCCCCTCGATGAATTCAATTGTACGATTGTATATTGTACAACATAGTTCGGCCAAGAATTAGTGTTCCGAATAAATGCAACTGGCGATCCACGGATCCATCCTAGTTTTGCTGCCCAGGTGCTCCACTGATTCAGCTACACCCATGGACGCGTGGACCGCCGGTCCCTCCAAGGCTGTTTCGGAAGGCCATCTATCAGCCGTGGATCCACCACCTCGGGTTCCTCGGGTACCAAAGCCCCAAGTTCTTATGTATCCATGGTTGTATTTCCCAGGAGAAGGAATGGCTTCTTGGGGTCTTGGGGGTCTTGGGGTGTTGGGGTCAAGGGGTCTAGTTTTTGGCATGAATGTTCACCCTCAATTTATATTTGACCATTGCCGTCCCCAGGTCCCTTACTAAAGTTACACGTGGCACCGCACATGGACTTGTAATATAGTTCCAGGGGGGAAAAAACCGGGAAGTTGCAAGGCGGAATTAACGTGAAATTGACGCAAGTATAAATGAAAAGAATAAGCTAACTTGTGTAAAGAACATGAATAGCTAGAACGAAACTGTATAGCATCCCTGCAGGGGGAGGGGTGTGCATTATACCCAAGCTCTGCTTCTTCAATCGGCGACCCCGGAGCAGAGATTGCGTGGTCTTCGGGTTGTGCTGGGAATCCATAGTTCCATAGATTATACCCTGTAGTATGGCTCGATAGATGGCAAAGAGGGATCCCAATCCTTCATATTTCCGTCCTATCATGAAAAAGCACGGACTCGACCGGGGAGAACATCCAACCGTTGTAAGCGGACCAGCCGAAGCTGCACGAGGGGATATTCCGTAGCTAGTGACCCTGCTGCGGGAACTACATGAGTCCTGTATTGAATGCTCACTGCGGGACATAGGTACCTAAATATCTCTCAAGTCACTTTGTTGTCATAGTTTAGTTTTATTTTCACTTGTGGGCAGTTTTATTTCCGCACTGTGTTGGGGCAACCCCCCTTTTCCCCCTGGCCTAGGCATGGCGGAATGTGATGGAAGATACAACAACCACGTTGCACATGTGGCCCCTGGAGAGTTAGATTGAATGGATTGGATTGCCTATCTGTGAGAAGTTGGGTCCGAACGTTGTTGAGAACCAGTCAGAGAAGTCGAGGAAAATAAATCCCGTGTGCATGAGCATTTCAACAAGCATGTGATTTAGGGACTATATTGAAAATTGGGTGAGGAGTACTTGTACAATATATTTTTCACCTTCCTATCCTTTGGAAGCAAAGAGCTCTCAGGTCATAACAAAATGAAGCAAAACAAATAGATCCAGGGCTTTAAAGTGAACCATAGGGCAAACCCTGCAAATTGGGGAATCAAGGCCAGAAAATCAGAAAGTTCACTCTAAGTCTCATATATGAAAACCACCAGACGCCCAAACAAGGTACCAGACGCTAGAAAAGACAATATGAAAAACAAAATACAATGAAACTGGAAAACATAAACGCTTGCAAAGCTAATAGACATCAGGACAAAGCAGCCAAGAATCCAAAGTATCGGAAAACGCGTCGACCGCGAAGCAAAGTTTAAGCCGGCACGGTTTGCCCCACAAATTCAAATAAAAGAAGCAGAATTTTAGGAAGCTGTCGATCATAGTCACGTAAAAATGGTTTGAAGTGTTTTGCAGAGAGCCGCGATTCTCGGTGGAGGGTCGTCCCTCCCCGAATTCATAGTTCCTGAATGGAGTCCACGTCAAGAACCATGGACAGGAGAAACCGGGATGGGAAACTTTAGAAAATGCCCTTGACTGAGTTTCAGACGTGAAAATTTTATTTTGGGTACCCTGTGGCCCAAAGTGTCGAAAAATAGGCGATCA